CGAGGCGCCGCCACCGTTGCCTGCGGTGGCCTCCAGGTGCGTTGCCTCGGATCTGACACCCGTGGTTCTTGGAGTCCGCGAGAAAATAACGCAGGGGGCAGAAATGAGGGTGCGTCTGGTTTTGGAGTTTTTTTAATGTTGAGGACTGGCATGACTTGTTATCTTCTGAACACACCTGTCATTCCATTTCACCGCGAGACTTAATGTGTTACTTAATGTCTAATGGCCAACGATTTACAACCGAAAGCAGAGGCGAATATGGCGCAAGAATTCAACGTAAAGACGCGTTTGTTTTTCGATGTTCTAAAATATGAAGGGGGAAACTGTTACATATCACCTGCACACACAAGACATTGCATGTAGGTGTCCACAATAATATTGTGAAATGTTACTGTAGGCCTTTTAGTTCGTTTTCACGTAAAAAGTATGTTGGATGCAACAATACGCTACGAAATAAAGCTGCATCTGCTCTTGATATTAAAAAATGTGAGGAATACCATAATCTGAACACACTTGTCAGTTTAAGCCAATGTAGGCAGAGCCTCCAAAATCCAGTTTGGTACTATTTGCTTCCACAGGGGAAAAACTCAAAACAGATGTAAAAACTACAAAATTCACCAATTAAGTGCTGCATGTGTTTCTCTATAATGTTAACAGTTCGAAATGTTGTTTCCCGAGTCATTCATTACTTATAAAAAACATATGTTGTTTATTTCTCTAAGGAAATTGATATCAACTGTACTTAGAAAACAAGTTTGCACTCATCTTGTCTCACTTCCGACTTTCTCTTTCGAAAGCAACAAGAAATCCTATAGTATTTTCCTTTTCTCGTCAACTTTTTTTCTAACGAATCACTCATTCAAGATTCATCAAAAAAATTCAAACAGTGTTTGAATAACACTAAAAATGAAAAATTTATCTAAGATCTCTAACTATGAGGAAACAAATGCTGGAGATATTCCACGTCAAATAATTATATTTCTGTTTTCAGAATTCCTTCAAAAAAATGAGCAGCCTTCCTGAATCTATCGTTCCATTCCCATATAATCACATGCATGACACTTAATATAACAATAGATTTGTAACAATAAACGAAACGAAAATATACGATATTCTAAAGAATATATCTCTCTTTCGCAATGTGAATTATTTCATCAATGAGCCAAGGAAACGTTTTGGTCAATAACTACAGGTAATATTTATAATTCATATACATATAATTGTTCAATATTTGTAAACATATAGTTTAATAGGCCATGTCCACATATGATATACTTTTAGCATCCCTAAATTCAAAGAAATATTTCTTAAATGTGAATACCAGATTGATTACGCTATCTACACCCTTCCCTTGTACCAGCCTTTTAACTACTTAACAAACTAAATACGTACCAACAAATACTTAGCATCAATGCAGTTATTACACTGCAAGGAACAACGACTATCATGGGAATCTTTACTAACATTTTGGCCATAAAATACGCCATGGTATTTTCATAATTTCTGCCAATGGCACAACCAAACACGTGCACAAAAAACCCTGATTAATTCGCATCTTGAAAAAAAAATCAAAGCCCCAATATTCAATCCTCATAAAAGCATCCAATTATTTATTGATTTCTTATTGAAATTTATAAAACTAATTTGTTTGGTTAATGATTGGCAGATCTCCAACACTACACATGTGACAATCCACGTCCACATCAAATTTACAACGAAGGGAAGTTAAACGTCAAAAACGAACTGTCTTCACAACTTCATGTATAATCCTCTCTTCTATTACTCCTTTCTGGGTATATTTTATCCAAAGTACATGACTCATAAAGAAAGTTCTACGACAAAATCTCGTCTTTTTAGATATCACAACTCTGATGCTCACTCATGTAAATATTATTCTTAGCTGAATTTAGTATATACATCACGGCATTTGTAGTACGAGCACATGTTACAACGGGATTAAAACGTTTGACAGTTGAAAATAAATTAATAAGAGTAAAGGTAGTTACACCACAGAACAGAGCAATGAACAGCTAAGCAAACATTATTGAAACACACGGAAACAAAATATGTATTCTAACGGACTTTTAAAGCTCCTTTCACAGTGACACGTGTGTGTTAAATCGCTTGACCGTCATCCTCAAGCATTCCGGAATAGCTCACACAGGTGGCAGAGCGACGCTCTCAGCTCACACCTCGCAATTACGGGCCTCCCGGAAAGGTGTGCGGACGTAACGGAAGCGAAAGTGAAAGCAGGCGTAACCGAGCCCCGCGCACGACCGCTGTCGCTGTCGCTTCCGCGGGCACGTGCAAGAAGCGGCGGGTCGCCGCGCAGCGGCCACGCACGCACTCACCTCTGTGACGGAGTTCTTCATGAACTCGTTCATGGCCTGGATCCACACATTGATGATCTCGTTGACAATCACCAGGTCGCTGTAGAGCCAGTAGAAGACGTCGTTTACCCATTGCACGGCCTCGACGTCGGGGCCCGTGGATGTCGGCGGGGCGGCGAGCGACGCGCGGCCGCCGGCGGACGTGGGCGTGGTGGAGCGGCGGGTGGACAGGCGCTTCCGCACCGGAGGCGTGGGCGTAGGCGCCGCCGCCGAGGCCCTGGGGGCGGCGGCTTTGACGACGGGCGCTTCTTTGGGGGCTGCGCCGGCGCCGGCCGCCGCGCCGTCCTCCGCCACCGGGGCGACGATCGCCTTCGGCTCGGGCGCCGGCGCCGCCGCGGCCGCGCGCGGGTCCGACGGCGCGCTCAAGAATCGCCCATAAATGTATCTTCCTATCGCGAGCACTACCAACCCGAAAATCATCCATCCGAACATTAACATCGCCACTGTATCCATTGTTGTATCACCGCCGCCTTCGAAGCTACAGATCAAATCGTCTATCCTGTCCGCCAAGTCGGCCATATTGTTCCATCCCTCCGAAAGCCAGTTCCAAATTTGCTTGAGAATGAGATCAGCCATTTCTATTAATAAGTCACCGGTTCACGGAGTGAAAATAGCATCGCAGCCCCGAGGGAGATCGAGTTTCGCGTGGCCCGCAGCGCGCTCTCTGCCCGCGCCCGTGCCAAGGCATCACTGCCAGCGCCAGCGCCATGCCGCCGGCGCGGGGTGGGCGCCGCGCCAACAGCTGTTCCCGAGCGACTGCCCCCGCCAGGTGCCTCCCCGCCTCCGCCTGGCGCGACCAATCGATGCCCGCCGCGCCGCCGCAGCCGCACGCCCCGCAGTACGGCGCGACACGCCGACCCAACCTAGCATTGCCGTTCCGCAAAAATCGTTATTCCGTGGTACCATAACCGTTCGTGTGTTATCAAAAGGGTTCACGTCAAGTACATTTCAACAAGCAAAATTAATTTTCAAACTGCTAAGTTCAAAATACAACCTGTCTCCTGAAATTAAAAGAAATCTTCCCGCGTAGACATTTTTAAATTTTAAAAATATTTTTTTGGCAATTCTGGAAGATTGTGCTTTAGTCAATGCTCCAAATATATACATCACCCGATTAATTAATACAAATTGGTTTTCAGGTACACAAGTATATATAAGAAAATATAACAAAATATACTATATATACTAAATACTTTATTTACAAAATACATAGTCAAAGGAGTTTAAATGATTACAAAAACAAGTAATGTCATTGAATAACCTTCCAAAATAAAGAAATTTAGTAAAATATTCATATCTACTAACACCTAACATTAATTAACTATACCTTCTGCAGTCTTGGAAAATTTCACAATTAATCTCACTTGCCCTCTCACGAAATCATTACACCACGTAGGAAACAATCCATTTTTTGATTACACAATAAAAAACTCCTGACCATCCTTGAACATTCAATAAAAGTTGCTTCTCATTTCCCTACAATTATTCAGTCCTTCAAAATCATTAATGTTACAAAAAAGAAACACTATACACACTTCAATTTATTTCCACTTGTTTTTGATAGTATTTTCCAATAGCTATAAATACAATTCTTGTCAATCAGAAAAAAGAGAAAATGGTTGGAATGTTTTAAATCAGTATTAAGATGAACACAAAATTGTAGCCATAAAATAACACTGTGAATTGTACTATTTCTGTACTATCGAGTTCCTTTCATGCCACAAGAAGTTATCAAAATTATCTTTTCCACTCTATCAACCAGTCTTTTTTGCTTCACTTCTGGCTCGTTTTTGCATAATCCAAAAGTACAGACGAGGAACCAAGCAACGGAGAAAAATTGCAACACGAGGAGCAAAAGGTGCAAGTACAAGCTCTGCCTTTTTGTCCACTACTGCTTGCACCACTTGGTCTGCCACATATTCGGGAGAATAGCCCCCTGCAGTACTTGCATCCATCACTAGCAAAAAATAAATTTTCATTGGTGCATTTGAACAGATTAAAACAGAATAGAAAAAGATTCTACCTTATTAAAAATAAATTACATTACTAGAGTAAACGTGTATTTGGAAATAAAAATTTTTCAAGTATTATACAAAAATATTTATACAAATTCATTAAAACTCTCCATTGAAAAATGGTATTAATGTACAACATAGCCAAAGATTTCAGTACCTTAAATTTTTTTATCAAGCTACAGCTACATAAAAAAATAAAAAATAAAATTAAAAAATTTTAAAAAATTCACAAATAAAAAGCCAAGGGCAGATCCATAAAATTTTTCAGGAGGAAGAGGGAGGCAAATTTCAGTTTACACCTACCATAAATATTTTTGTATTTTGTATTAAAATGATGTTTTTCAAATTTATTTAATGTAAAAAACAGTAAAAAAGTGTGTGATGTTCTATGAGGAGAAGTTTCTTGAACTCTGGGATCTCTGCCCTAAGTCATACTTATTAAAAATTGACATTGACTAATGAACATAGGTAAAAACAACAAAGCAAGAATTGGTACAAAAATATTTGCTCCTATGGAAAAAAAAGCTATTTGAAAAATGAAATCAGAAGCAGAGTTTGGCTATTATTCCTTTTCGTGACAGAATCAACTTACTGCTGCAAGAGAATATAGAATGATTATTTGAATAAATAGATTTCCCTCAGGGATTAAGAAAATGGACACAGTGAGTGAAGCTACATATTTGTCCAGAAGCAATACAAGGCACCATCTCAGCATTTGCTCAAAGAATCAAGGAAACTAGACGAACAATCTGATTGAGATGTGAGTCACTGACCGACAAGCTGAAATACAATACTTGTTACAGACATTTTTAGTCATTAAAATTATACAGTCTAAATGATAACTAATATTACATTAAAAATAATTGTTAAAGTCAATATTATTCCCTTTTTGTTGCTTAGTACAGACTCCAATTTAATAGAAACTGTTACTATATAGCAGAAAAGATTTTAATTAGTATTTAAACTTGTGAATCAGTATTAATTGTTTAATGTCACTGGCTGTGGGTTGTAATGTGTTGTACATGAATTATACGTGAAGTTTTAGTAGCGAACTGTTAACACTAACATCTGAAGAATATGACAACTACATTTGATGAATATGGTTCCTATTTACTTTGTTATGTTGAAATTTTAAAAAAATATGTACAATTACTTTCATACTGGGAAAACAACTTTGGATGTGACAAAATCTATATGTATTTATTTTGAATCAACAGAGTCACAAAATTACAAAATATTGCAAAATATATTGGTTAGGGTGGGAGAGCGTAGTCCATCTGACTGCCTTGGATTCGCCACTGATTCATTATAACATTTCAGGGCCTTTAGCTAATTAACATATTAAACCAAAAAATAATACTTCACAACCTAACAACACAATTTTCTCAACAAGGTTTTTCTTAAAATGTCAACTATCAAGCACATAATTGTGCATTAAAAAAAGTCAACTCTGAAAGATGAATTTTAACGAATAAAGAAAAAAAAATTTAATTGAAAATGCATTATATTAAAATATCACTGCAATAGAACATCGATATTATGTTCTAGAATTAGAACAAATATTATAAAATATCTCCAGGAAACCACTAGTTGATTACATTTGTTTACATGTAAACTGACTTAAGAAATAGATGGGTAAATTATTATTCATAACAAAAATGTTTTGGGGTACTTGATAAGTTCAGGGTAAACTCAATGTCTTCTTAAGACCGCCTTTCTGAGTTCACCAAGCTAGACATAAGACTCTACAGTGTTAGTCATTTGAAAGATAATTTACACTGTGTCATGGATGGAAATAACGTAAGTGAAATAATTGTTATACTATTGTTCCAAAATAATAAATTTTGAATTTATCTTCGAAAGGAAGCTTATTTCCCTTATTGAAATTTAGGTTTATTAGATAAAATATAATTCTGATACATATTTTGATTTTAAACACTGATTGTGAAACAATAATGGAGCCTGACAACAAAATCTTGCCAAAATATTGAAAGGGTTATGTCAAAGTAGTAATCAAAATGCTGTAGCAACAATGCAAGTAATTTTTTAATATATTGTTATTATTTTGATTTTTAAACATAGTTTTAAAAATGTTATACTTTAATAAACACAACGACTCCTTGTTTCTTTATAAATATAAATTAAAAAATTCATAGCTAAACTTGAACTTCGTAACATTACACTGTATCACATTACATAATCTTACATGATACCAAAAAGTTCCAGTTTTTAACTTACTTCCATAAGTCTTTCCATCTCCTGTCAAAGCATTGAGGGAAAGTGAAGTACGAATATACCCTGGGCTAACCACAGTTACTTGGACATCATGGTCTGCAACTTCTGATCTTACTGTGTCACAGAAGGCTTGAAGTGCATGCTTGGATGCTGCATATGCAGACCTATGATAAAAAAAAAATTTTGAAGAAATTCATATACATCACATGAACTCCCCCAAAAAATAAAGCACATAAATGATGTGAAATATACATCCACATACCTGAAAGGAATTGCCATAAGTCCCTGGACACTGCTAACAGCGACAATATGTCCACATGAGCGTTCCACCATGGAGGGTAAAAGAGCTGAAACAAACAAAACTGCATTTCTGCAATAGTACCCCTTAAACTTATTTATTTTATATTACCATTTTGTTTTGGAAGCTCACCTTTAGTCAAAGCAACCTGTCCAAAATAATTTATGAGCATTAATTTGATGTCAACATCAATATTTGTGTTAAGGACTGTTCCCCGATAGCTCATTCCAGCATTATTCACCAAAATGTCTATGTGCCCATGAATAGCCAATGCCTTAGTCACATACTGGGGAATGTTATTAATATCTGATACATCCAATGGTAAAACTACAGGTGGGTGAGTTGTTCCTGTCTGCAAAACAAGTAGTTCTTCTGTTTTAATCTTTTTTCTAACAATTAAAATAAGAAAATAATTTCAAGCTAATACTTACTGCATGAGATACCATCAGACTTTCCTTTACCCTTTCCAACTCTTTCTCCCTTCGAGCTGCTAATATAATTTTGCAACCAGCACTGTAAAATGCATGGGCAAGAGCTTCTCCCAATCCAGAACTTGCTCCAGTTATAAGTACAACCTTGCAGATGAAATCATGCATTAATAAAAAAATCACATTTAAAAGACAAAAATGTTATTCCATAAGTTTAGAGTAAATAAAAAATTGACATACCTTATCTTTCAATATCTTTATCCTTTTGTCTTTCCTTTGTCCAATAATATGATATATAAGCCATGGCAAAATTGTCAAAGGGACACACAAGGTACCCATAAAACGCCAAATAATTGGCCATCCATAACCAAGCAATTTTTCATTTAGTTGTTTCATGCTGAAAACCTTTTGAAGCTGCACACCTACTAATATTTACTTTTGAACGGCTAGAAACGTAAAATGAATCACTCGACAATCTACTTCCAGTTAGCGGAGTTCAATACGATGCAATGTTCCTAATTCTACCTTTTTTAAGTCTTTTTCCTCCAACCTGTCATGAAAGTTTGAAGATCAGAGTGCAAAAGGCATTTGTGTGAACGAACTACAGCTCCAATCACGGTCTTCGCGGATTGTGAACCGCTCGCCGCGGGACGGGAACTATCCAGAAAGCTATAATTCGCTTTTTTATTTAGATTCGGAATTTAGTCTACTGTAGACAAATTGAAGTAACGACATAAATCTCGAAGTCGAATAAACGTGTTCAAGAGTAAGTCGTATATCTAATTTTCTGTCCTTTCGTCACGTTTCCGACCTAACCCTACATTTCGCAAATTTTAGTCGCAATCTATTAGTACACTATTTAGTTAAATGATACATGTAAACTACATTCAAAATTGACGTATTCAGTATATACGTGCATATTTACCTTTGCTATACTTGCTTTTTGCTATTTTATTTATTCGCTACCTGCTCAGAGAAATTCTGATGTATAAAATGTAAAATCAGAATACTTAAATAAACTAATAAAATTAATTTAATTTCCTTCAACTTCACAATTATAACAAAGGTGTAGGATTCAGGAAGGTTCAAATATACAAGAAAACTAGAGAAATGTTAAGTTACTTTATTATTAAATTACAAAAGCAAATCAGGAAGGAGCAGGGAAATTTTTACCTAAAACAGAAAAATAGCAAATGGGTATAACATTTTTCCATTTCCTGACAATCTCAACTCAATGCACTACTCTTTTGCTGCTTTCCTGTTTAGAAATGATATAATAGCCTACCAAGAACAATGGTTGTCAAACATTTCTGCAAAGTATGTCTAAATACTGTAGAAAATACTTCATAATGGCATCCCACTGCACTACCTTGAGCAAGAAATTCATGATCCTGAAAGCTTTATGTACAATAATCTATCACTTCTGTGACCAGAAATAAAAGATACTTTTCTTATGAACTGTATATACACCATGAAGGAAACAATTGGAAAGTTACTTCAAGAGATTATAACAAAACTGAAGAAAATCTGCAAGACCTATTTGAAAAATATTTAAAACACAGAATGCATCAACATAAACTTTGAAGTTTCAGTTCTCTGCTTGAAACATAAATAACGCAACATGTATTTAGCCTCGGGAGGCAGAAAATTTAAATTATTTCATTGACATAATTAAATATAATCACAGTATTATCAAGATTACATGTCATCCTCACCCTTCTTGTACCACATTCCTATTGATGAATGCTATGGAAAAAAAGTTCAGCATTTCAACTGGATCCAAATCAAAGTAACACTTATCGTCTTACTACAACAATGCCTGAAGTCACTGTCTTCCATTACACAAGGAATCACATTTCACAGTACACAATACAGTGCTACATCCACATTTATTCACGTAACAGGTTTCAAAGTGAATGATAATTTTGGTCTGGAATTGTTCTTTCCTAATATTTTTTTCTGTTCTTCCTTTATTCTCTTCTCTTGCTCCTTTTTTAACCTCTGCCTCTCTTCTTCCATTTTGCGTTGTTCTTCAACCATGGCAAGACGTTCTTCTGCCTAAAATTAAGAAATGATAATTAATTGAATGTGTCTAACATAGAATTAGTGGCAAAATTAGTGTAGGTGTCACCCGAAGTAAAACTAATTGTTATTAAAAATTAAAACTTCTTTATTTTGTAGGTTAAAATTATTTCTTACAGTAATAATTTTACAGTGTCTTACAATGTACACAGTAATATTGCAATGCAAATTGAAAATTGAATATATTGAAAATTGCAATTTTGGAAATATCATGAATTTCATCTGAAAGCTTTCTTTACGCCCTCAGTGGACAAAATTCAATGCAAATTTTGGAACCTTTTTTGAGACTTTTTTGAAAACATTGAGACTTGATATAAAGTATTCTCTAAAATAAAAATATCCAATTTAAACACAGAGGACCATGAGTTCATTTAAACCGATCAGGGAATATCAATTTTGAAGATATGTGTTAGAGGAAGCAATTTACTGTTTATAGAAACAACATTTATCCCCTCTTTCATTACCACGGCCCGGCAATAAGAGGTTTTCTGCCGAAAATTCGTTGTTTTCCAGCACATGATTACAGTAGTTTCTCTTCTTACGAAGTAAGGGGGAGAAAGTAAGAATTCACATCGATAGAAGTGTGCAATCCACATTCAACCATGGAGTCAGAATGATAATAAATTTATTTTCTTAAAAAATCTTCCAAAATCTTCTAGTGTCAGTGTAGTGCCATTTTATCTCCCATGAAACAGATGTTCAAGCTCACAATTCACATCTAAATCATGCAAACATCACACATCCTGAATTTGAAGTACTTTCTGTTAACGAACTTTAAAAGAATCAGAGGCTTCAAACATAAACATAACAGGAAGGAAGAAAATACGTCGATACAAAATGGAGTTCTTGAACACAAATCCAAAGCGCAAAACTTTCAGAGGAGTCTAAAGTCACAGAATAACAGTACGGGAGGACCAAAGAAATACTGCTGTTAACAATAAATATGGTAGTGATAAACATAATAACTGTTATTGTAAGGTACTAGAAAATTGAGAGCCTACGCAATAAGTTTTAACATTCTAATCAACATGATAATTTCCTAGGCAATTTGCAATTTTAGGTGGGAAAAACAGTAAGAGTTAGTTAAAAATTATACAATTTCTCAAGTAAATATGGCACATCCTTGTATTTGAAACACCAAGGGGTTTGTGATTTTTTTTAAAATGAAAGGTAGAGAATTCTAGATGTGTTATCACTTGATATTACTAATTGGTTTTATAGTGTAAAAACTAACATTTATTAATTATATAACTAATAGAATTAGCACTTATTTGTCATCATTCGTTCATTCACTGTGCAAGTTGTAATTAATCTATTGAAAGCAGTTGACATTTCATCTACCATGAGCCACATACAAGTGAGAGATTATTATTTAGTGAAGCAAAAATAAAAAGCTTTTAAAGCTTCAAAAGTATTTTTAAGTGCAACATTTGTCGAGTGAATATAAATGCAACATTCGGCAACCATATAACACACATCTCTTCACACCCACCCCCACACAAACAAACACACGAGCTCAATAACACTTTCAGAAACATGTTCAACTCTGAAGTGAATAGTGATTTTTGAATTCCAGAATTTGTAAGCCTCCCTCATTTCATTAGTCCTGGGGAATAAATACTAAATGATATAAAACAAATTTTTGGGAATATGTAGATCCTTTCTATAGATCTTTCCTTTGTGCAAAGTGATCACAAGGGTTCAGCTTATACACTTTTAATTTGCTTCTAATCACTGCACATTTATTATAAAGAACAAGTAATGCATAGACCAGGACCATTTTATGCATGTAAAGTGTAGTTGAGATTTTATGCAATATGTTAATAAAAATATAAATGAATGGATATAAAAATACATACATATATACACACACACACACACATTCACTCAGCGAGTCACAATATATTAGAATGAATTTAACTAGCATATTTTGTCACATGCAATGTACCAGTAAACATGAATTCAAACTGTTAAAAGAAACTGTTAGTGAAAACTATGTTAGCAGAAATGACGATGCAAGCATTGTTGCCAAAAAGCAAAAAATTGTGACAGATATACAAATGTGTGTGTGTGAAGCTACAATTTCTGCCTCGTGAATAAAACCTTAATATACTTGAGAGTTGAGAGCCATTCATTGCTGTAAAAATTCAGTGATTCAAACTAAGAACTATGGTTTGTGAACTATGGTCCCTGCATCAATTTCAGGTAATATTGAGATACTCTGATAATGAGGGCAATGTCTCTAAACACTCCATTTGTTTCATAAAGTCAGAGGAGAATTACATTGACAAACTGCAGTTAGATAAACCAAAGAAGTAAGAAAACAACTCTCACCAGTCGCTTCTGGGCTTCTTCTATTTTTCGGTTGTTTTCAGCCATGATCTGCTCAAGTTCTTCTCGTTTCTTTCTCTCTTCCTCCTATAAATTAAGTACAAAATGTTAATAAAAGGTAATTATGATGTCTTGCACATGCACAGTTCACCAGTAAACACTGGTAACAAGCCAGGAAAATAAACATCTAGGTACAGACATTTAAAGACCAAAACAGAATTGGAATCCGTCTATCTAAAAAAGCCTTGTTCACAATGAAAGCAGGTCTGCTAGTTTTGTTAAAAATGTACGAAAAATGTAGTAATGTATTTTGACAAGTAATATGAAGAGATTTATAGCTCTTTATAACTTAACAGTGTGATCGAATAGGAATGTTAATTTTTATAATTCAGAAAAGCTAGTTGCTTGAAGTGCAGCACAAGTATTACATATTACTTTTCTGTGTGGTTCCTAATGTAAAGAGATGATATCAATTTCTACTATGCTAGCTTTGTAGAACTATAGTAATGATTTATTTATTAAAATATAGCACAGTAACTGAAGCCAACAGGAAGAATAAACACCCGGATTCTTCTTGCAGGATTTGATGACAGGAACCACAAATTACTGGATTTAATCCCCTAGATACTGCAAAGAAATCATATACAGATGTGGGCACTTTGTCGAATCCAGAAGATAGTTCCTATAACTGAGATAATTCCTAAACTGATTTTTTGTAAATATTAATTTTTAAACTGTTATGCACTCTTTAGTCTCACTAACAGAATATGCTATTTCTAAGATCTGAATTAAAATGCCATTGACAATATGCAAAATTCAAGTTATTTCATGTTAAAAGAATTGCTTCTACAATCATTACAAGTAATTTATAATCAAATTCTTATTTAATTAAAACCACTAGTTAAAATGCAAATTGACCGACATATTGGAGAGAGCTGTTCTGCAAGGACAAGATAAAAAATTACAAAAAACCTTTTTTCAATATTCACATTTCAAACTTATGGCACCAAATATTTACTATTGTCATAGTCAGCTTCTTGACACAGCTCTACCCAACAGGTGGAAATCAGGAATTTGTAGTGATGTCACTCATAAAAACTAACCAATTTGGTGTACCATAACAACTGCACAAAATTACTACAAATACATTGATATGTTGCCTGGCTGCCACTTTAGTATCTGTAAATAGTGCAATTTTAAAACTGCATTATTTGAAACATTTTTATTTTTTAAATTTTTTTGTGAAACACTATTGACATTTTTCATCAGTAGATTACTTACCAAATGATGAATCACAGAAAAAAAATATGCCCTAGAAAAGATTACAAGTGGCAACCCTGCAAAAAACTCATGTTAAAAAAATAAACAAAGATAAAATCTGACATTGAAAGTATAAAAATGGTAGATAATACCTTGTGATGGCGGGGCCATAGACCTCTTCCTCCGCAAACTGTAAACTCAGCCTCAAATGCATTCTTTAGTACTAACGATGCAGTCTTCTTTCTACTGATGATGAACCTTACTTAGAGACTGACAATCAGTCTCTGGACCCCCGAAAAAATGTCTGTTAGGTTCCCCAGAACATTACAGATACACTGACACGGCTGAGGAAAACACTTCCAGGTGTTATCCGAGGAGTTTCAAACACAGATTCAACATGTTTTAGTAAAGTGAAAATTATGAGTTTATGAAAATGGGACAGTTACTTTAATAAGGATGTAATAGCAGTCAGCATTGATATAGTTGGGGGTACGACACAACACGAGGAGTAATTGGTACTTCCTGAACTTGTATGCATCTTAAGGTATGCATACAAAAACTAAGGCACGGAAAATTTTCAGTGTTATGTCATTTTTTCTGGAGAGCACAAGGATAAATGAAAAACTAAAAATCTAAACACAATATTCTATATAAAAATTGTCAAAATAAAGGTACAAAATTGTAGAAATTCCAAACAAATAGCATTTTAATTACAAACTCAAGAGTTTAAAGCACAAGAAGCAAGCTAGTACAGAAAACTCCGCCAGAAATGAACACAGAAAACTAGTTTTTCATACTTTCACATACAACATACAAAAGTAGTCATATGATTCAGTCTGTATCTTCAGTTGTGTCACAAAGTTTTATTATGGTAACTGGCACACTGACATAAAATTGTATGATCAATTCAAAACTGCTTCTTCACGTAGCAGTTACATGTTATTTTTCCCAGTCAACGAACCAGCTTAATATGAAGTAAATCCAAATCATTCTAAATAGATGAATTTCAAATATACTTACTTACTTACATACATTCGTACATACATTCAAACAAACAAATCAACATGTGTTGCATTTTTCATATGAAGCTGGTAACCCATCCCCTTGTGATTACGATGTACACCCACCCCTCTGATTTATTTCCCCTGCCGACTTCATTCCAGCTTACCTCCCGTTTTTTCTCCTCTTCCAATTGTTGTTCTCTTCTTCTCTCCATTTCTTCCATCATTTGTTTCTCCATTATCCTTTTCGCTTCTTCCACTCGCCTTAAAACTTCTGCTTCTATTTCTTCTTTTCTTTTTTCCAATTCTTCCTCTACCCTCTTTTTCACTAATTCTTCAATTCTTTTAGCTGTCTCTTCCTCTACCATCTTCTGTTCTAATTCTCTCTGCCTCCTAAAAACACAAAATTTTTATTGATATACAACAGTAAGTACCAGATTTCCTCCTTAATGGATTAAAAAAGCTATGGTCTCAAAGATAAGAAAATTGTAATTGGTTCTCGATAAATTATAATATTGTTGATTTTAACTGAACTGTCTTAACTACCTTTGTCTCTCCATTTCTGCTAGCCTCTCCACTTCATCCATTTTCCTATCATGGTATCTTTTTCTTGCATGACTTCCTGACCGTGCAAAGTCATCAGAAGTATCAGAACTACTACTAGAGGATTCAGAATGAGACCGTTTTCTGAAATTAATTTTCAAAAATACAGTTAACACGATTTCAAGTATTCCTAAAACATTAATAATTTTGCATGCTTCTAATTTGAATGAGATATATGAAATTAAGATAATAAAAATCAAAAATACTTCCCACATGTAGCTTCATTATGTGCACGCTTTGTTGAGCTCAAGTTTTGTTGGTAGTGGTACGAGTAGAGCACAGAGTGCGAGTTGTTATAGTGTTAGCAATAGTATAAAATCAAATCTGTAGTTCAATTAGCAACACAAATCAGTTTTCTATTATTCAAGAGATAAAATTTCTAGTGTAGAAAAGTTGACCAAGCTTTGTTGGAACTTTTAAACATCATTCAACTATTACAGTAAAATAGGTGGGGTAGGAATTCTGGAGCTCAAGAAAACGTGTGCAAATAATACTTCTCCCCCATATGTCACATACACTTTTTAATGTTTTTTGACGAAAATAAATCAACTCAAATTTCTTATTTCTTCGCTATTCTTATATTGTTTAATCTGAAGTCATACCTTGATTTTGTACTGCGTTCTCGAGATTTTTCACGGTGTTTACTATGAGAACTTCTCTCACGAGATTTTGACCTTTTACGAGAATGTTTGCTTTTATGGCGCCGCTTTGGTGACTTACTACGAGTTCTCGATCTTCCCATTTTTAGTTTATAGGCTTTACAACTCAAGAAATAAATGAGAAACAATCACCGTGAATACACTTCCACTCCACACAAGTTACATGCACCATACAAGCCGTGAACACGGCACTCCTTGCGATGTAGTTTCACTACAGTAATGATCAATTTTTACAAAATATCTAGATAAATTTGAACTGTATATGAGATTGCTGTAATGCACAATACATTAACACCGCGAAGCCACAAGGTTAACTTTTGGGTGGTTTCAGTACTTCAGTTTCGGTCTTGATTTCTAGACAACACAGATCCAGTCAAGAAAGATACTTCACATCGCCTCTTCTCCCTCCCACGCACGCACGCACGTACACAGACCAATTGGGTGCGGTCAGAAACTGGAGAACATTTTGCATTATTGATGTGAAAAGTCACTCAAAATATCAACAAAAGGAATCGTCAATAATACAATAGGTGTTCAAACCTAAAATGATATTCAATTAGTACATTCTTATTTTTTAGAAAGAACGTTTTACACACTCATGAAACAGTGTCTTGTGCTGCTCTCTAGTTAACACTGGTACATCTCGGAGGGAATACAAATGACAAACGCTCATATTCAATCGCCCTTCGGTCCACACTTTGATGTAAAAAAAATTACACTTATTCCACGAAAGCTAATATTTTCAGCAAGATGTGTTGATTAAGTGTAGATGAAATGGTTTATTTGATATAATCTCATTTATTTCGTATAAAAACAGCAACAAATTAGCCTTACTATGACGTACGCGGAAGAGCCATTGAAGAATAGTTTCCACAGGAAGTATTATCTAATATATCTAATGCATGTTTCCTTAAACTCCAGAATTCCTACCCCCCTATCATTATAAAAAAACTTATATATATATAATAATATAAATATAATATTATATAATAATATGTACGGCAACGGGTTGGATACATTTCATAACTCTAAATTTTCACTCCCGAGTAATATTTACATCCGTTAACAAACTACAGAATTGACGTGACTGTATTGCGAACAAAATAGTATCCCTACATTCCCCGACTTTAATCCTACTTCCGTTTTTTTTAAAAAAGCGCAAAATGATTTTTATGCTATCTCATAGAGTATATTTCGCACTATTCCTACCAAAAGTTTAAAGAAAAAATTTAAAGCCGTTTTTGAGAACTTTTTTTTAAAATTGCACATAGTAATGTGTCCACCAACCGACGACCACGCAACCGACCGCAACATGACCTTAATAAAATAACTCACTTCAGAGAACACATTTTATTTGTAGGAAAAATCTCTTCCTTCAATTTTCTAGTCGTAGGAAGAAACTCGAAAAATTTTTAAATTTTCGAAAACTTAGTTAACCCCGCAAATCGGACCTATGCCATCTTTATAAGAACATTTTACTCTGTTGTTACAAGAAATTTATAGGAAAAAAATTGGAGCCGTTTTTGAGAAAATTTTGAAAATGTCCGGGGAATTTTATGTCAAGTATCCCCCAAAATTAAAGAATGTTTTTAAAAATCGCAGAGCTTCGACTCAGGCCAGATCGACAGGGGTTTATTCAGTTTGGAAAAATCGCACGCATAGCTTAGGTGCCTGTGTTGTTCAAATGCACAAGACAGACGGACAGACGAAATGGCGTTTCGAAAATAACACTTTTTTCGGTACCAGAGAACCCCAAAACGCGTATTTGCGTTGAAGTCTCGAAATCGATTTTCCGCAGTATTATATAACTTTCCCTATACTACGTATATTCGTATGTATAAGGGAAAGTAAAAATATCGAGATCGTATTCATTCATCTAGATGCTGAAGTACATTACTGTGGCAATGGCGAGAAGTGTCCATTTTACTTTTTTGCGTGTTTCAAGTGTTCATACATCAGGAATTTCAAATTACGCCCGCCGGAGCTATTTGCCCGCCTGGAAAGCTCGGCGCTCATGTACTTTTTCTGTCAAAATTCTTCTTTGTATCCTCGTTTTATCGAAGGGCGGTTACAATAGCAAATTATTTGCCTGTTTTCGAACTGTTGTATTTTATTAAATTATGCTGTTATTTTTTCTCTGTAGTAATAATGCGAAATAAATTAACAGTCTACCTTCTTTAGTAAAACCTCTTTTTACTTTCCCGGATACATACGTATATACGAAGTAATATACGTAGAATAGGGAAGTTACACATATGTAATGCTGCGCGAAAAAACGGCGGATTTTCGGCAGAAAAAAATTCATTGTCTGGCCCTGATAACGAAAAAGTGAATAAATCCTGTTGCTAAATTTAAAAAAAAATCCTCTATCATCCTGTAGTCAGAATCCCTGTTCTGTGGGTCCTTGATACCGAAAATCAATTGACACCAACACGTCCGTCTGTCCTCGTCTGCCTGTGTGTCCGTCCGTCTTTATGTCAATCTGTGAACACTACTATCGCCTACACCATGCGTAGTTTTTTTTCCAAATTGAAGAAAACCGTTTCTATCTGACTCGGGACATATCTTTGAGATTTTGGAAACAATTCTCTAAAATTTGGGGATACTTTACATTATGCTCCCCGGACATTTTCAAAATTCTCGCATATTTTCTCAAAATTCTCCAATTTTTTTCTTTAAATTATTGTAATAATTTAAAATACACTTAAGATAGCATAGGTCAGATTTTTAGTTAACTCTGAATTTTTGAAAATTGCAAAAGTTTGAATATTAGTTGGCCTCTTTCTACAACTACAAAATTGAAGATAGAAATTTTTCTTGCAAATAAAATGTGTTTTCCATGGTGAGTTCTTTCTTTATGGACATGTACTTTTTTTAAATAGTAGTTTTTGCGCAATATTGTGAGCAATTTGTGCAATTAAAAAAATACAAAAACAAGTTTTTCTCAAAACAGCTCCAAATTTTTCTTTAAACTTTTAGTAGGGATTGTGTTAAATGCACTCTATAAGATGACATGGATGCCATATTGCTCTATTCTTTTGTTTTTCGACAAATTACAAATGTGTAATTTTTTGACTTTTCTCTCACGTCGTTAATATTTATACTGGCTGCAATTTGTTCACGTTATTATATTTATGATTTGATGTGCTTTAAATAATGTGAAATAAAGTTTCTCGAAAACTCAACAGTTTTTTGTGATAATTAGCTCAAAATTCCGCATTTTCAGAAATGCTCAAACGCTTTTTTTTTGTAAATGGCTCCAGATTTTTTCTCCAAATTTTCATTTGTCATTCTGTTCATTTCACTCTGTAATATGACGTAAAGTTCATTTCGGGGTATTTTAATGTTTTCTCATAAGGTACTCAATTTCTTTGAAAGATCACTCACGCCGTTATTATGCACATTTCCAGAAATTTGTAAACCCTATTGTATTTGTGAGTTAGTGTGCTTCAAATGACGTCGAATGAAGTTTTTCGAAAACTAAAATTTTCTGTGAAAGAGAACTTCAAATTTCGAATTTACAGAAGCACTTAAACGTCAGTTTTTTAAAAAATGGATCCAAATGTTTTAAAGAAAATGGCTATTTAAGACGAGGTTTACTGTTCTTTAATATTCTTAAAATAATATTTTCGTTCTACTATTAGAAAACCGAAATATTAAGAAAATGTTAAAAAAATGTATTTTGGGCGGCGATAGATGGCAGTTAGCAAGAGCATGTGGGAAGTTCATTTTGTAACTTTTAGCTCAGTCGGTTCGCTCCTTCATTCCTATAATGAATGGATGGAAGAGAAGGGAGGTTGTGAATATATCGATTAAATCATTTCATTAATTGTGAAAAAAATAATTTATTCCTGACAACATTAGCTGCCTACTAGCGACAAAGACTGCCTACCAACTTTACGCAATGAGCTCATGGTTCTAATAGCTAGGAAGGAAACATCTTAACACTAACATTGGGGTTTTGTCTTACAATAATTCGTACGTTGTTAAGTAATAAAAAAAAACTGCCTGAGCGTGGCAACGCTGAAACTTTCGCCGGACTACCCAGCGAAGGAACCCCCTGCTGTAATCAGGGAAGAGGTTCATCTTCGGTTAAATACCGGATTATCACCGCTGTTGTCGGCGCCTCCGCAGACCGGTCTGAATGGCTGTCCTCGTCTGTGATTCACCTTAGCTCTGGCGAGGGCTGCGGCTTGGTGCGGCGACGGCAGGGCGGTGGTCAGTCACCGACTCCCCATTCGAATCTCTCTCAGCTGCGGCCATGGTGCGGCTCGGAGCGTCAAAGGCGGGCGGGCCCCAGAGTCAGCTCGAGGACACACGGGCCCCAGGCGGCGTAATGGGGCTTGAATGGGCCCCAGCGCGGCACTGCGGCGAACGGCAAATTGACGCATAGGCTGCGCGGGTCTTTGGTTCGGTTAAAACCGCACTCGGTGGCAAGTTCAGCCCTACCGACCGAAATTAAAATGTTCCTCACTCCACCGAGTCTTACTGAGAGCCACATCTTTCTCCTACAATTCTCCCTAATAAATGTTTTCTCTACTCAGCTCCCGGCCGAGCTCGCCTCCGTTTCCCCCTCCCAAAACCGTCTTTGGACCCGTAGCTTTGCCCCTTCCTCAAGGGAATGTCTCAAGCCGAAACTATTTGCGTCCGCAATTTTTTGTATCACCGACGATCGGGAACGCACTGTTCCTGGACATTTCCAGGGCGCATCTCTCTCTCTAATTTAGACAGCACATCTTGCAGCTCCCGAACACGTGTTCAGCGCGGCTTCTGTTTTCGGCAAACAATTCTTCGGCGGCCGTGCTCGGCAGCCGGCCGACGGGCGAGCTATAAACAATATCTCTGGGATTTCCGGAGTGTTGTAGGGAGATTCCTTGCACAGGCGTGTGACGAATGCCGGCAAGCGGTCTGTCTCCGCGGGCCAAGACGGGCGGTGCAGTGTCTGTTTTGTTAAGTGTGCCGGGAGCTCCCGAAGTTGCGGGGGGGGATGTCTTCCCTGCGGATCGCCAGCCAGATGAAAGGGCGTGCGACGGGCCGAGCGCCGAGGCACAGCGGCGGCTTTTGTCGGTAAATAAATTCTGATGCTGAACGGCCATTTGGCGAGCGGGCGCGCGGGCAGCTGGCAACGGGGGCGTTGGCTTCGTTGAATAAGGTCTTGCGACAGCCCCAGTCTTGCGACCATTTTCTTTCTGTGGAGAAAAACTATCTTAATATTAAATTAATATAATAAAATGGTGGACGCCACAATATAGTTAGACGACACACCAATGAAATAGAAACTAATACGGGAAAGTCTGTGCCATTCTGTGGCACCACTAGTGGTTTTAGTATACACTCACGAGCGGGCAGCACATTTAACTGAGAAGAAGCTTTGTTCCTATGCTGACACGAAGGAAAGTAAATACATACCATAAGCTAACGCGATTAAAAAATCAATGTCATTCAATTCAAAATATTTGACTTTATTGATTAGTTGAATTTTTATGTATTTCATTTATAAGGATAATTTTATTTGCTTTAGTAAAGGAATATAAAACTAATATTCCTAAATATGGTGCAATTACTGTCAACTCACTTCTCCAAAATGACGGTCATGAGCCAGGTATCTACAGCGCGTCCGAGGTTAAGAATGAAGTACGGTGTCTTATGACAACAGTGACGCCAAACGTGGCGCTTTACTGCGGTACTGTTGAATCCGAAGTTACGCGCTCGATTGTGACGGACGAATCCCGCAATTGGGTGCGAGCTGTAGTTAAGTATCTTTCGTCTCGACACCTTTCCAATTTTAGGTATTCATATTTCTTCCTTTCTATCTAAAATATTCCTTATAAGTTCCCACATAGAATGTTTTTGTGTA